CAGTGATTTTAGCGGAACGAAAGATATTCGAGCGATCTAGCGTCATCGCCTGGTATAAACGTGACTGAAGCATACGGCAAGCCGATCTGTATTCTGGTTGTCAACGTTACGACACGCGGGCTTCAACAACGGTTACCGCGATGTCGGCGATGTTTTTCAAGGACGATGCGGGCGGTACCGATATAAACGGAAAGGAAACGTTTTGTTACGATAACAGTAGCTTTGTTATCTTTTTAAGGAAGTTCGTATAAATTTCTGAAAAAATTTTTTTATATTTGTCCGATATCTATCATGCGCGTGCGCAAAATTATTATAATCTCATTTCTACCGAAAGATATATTAAAGTCATTCAGCTCGATTGCGGCCTTTCATCTCTTTTCAGACACGAGAAGAATCTCCCCCGTTTTTCCGCAGATTTCCGTTACATTGTCGCGTTCCTGTGTGTACATTCCAACGCAAACACACACATGTATACACACAACATCGCAAATATGTGCTTCATTTGCGGCGCTAATACGAGAGTTTTCCATTATCGACTCGTAAAGAAATAGCGGTCACTCTGTCTTCCCTTCCGCGCTCCGCCCGAAAAATGTCATGTTCATTATCGGGCGGGAGATATATAAAAGGTGATGCCTCGTAAAACTAATGAAAAAGTAAAACACGCGATGTCATGTAATTATCTTAATGCCCGTGATTACCACACCGTATCAATGTCGCAATGTCGCAACTCACTCTATTGGACAGAATAATTCGATGTCATGTAATTATCTTAATGCCCGTGATTACCACACCGTATCAATGTCGCAATGTCGCAACTCACTATTGGACAGAATAATCTCTCTTCCGCGCGAAATTTCGTGAGAAGGGTCATCGCTATCGTTGTCGGATAGGTGAGCTCACATGCGCCAGTAACTTCTTCCTCCTCTATGATTTCATTAACCCAATTTTCCGAGTCGCACACGTTAGACTAATCTATGGACGGAAGGTCGTACGCGTGTGATGACGGCATTCTGTGTAATAAGGATACATAATAACCATGTGGAAACACGCATTGCGTATCGCGTGATATCCTGAGAATACATGCGACTTCGATGATTGCTTAAACGTGAAGTATAGTAAACGATACAGGATACGTCATGATAGCGCACGGGAAGTAACAATAGAAGATTGTGCCTTGAGAGAAAAGACTCGCTCGCTCTTATCTTAAGATGATTTTGAATAACAAAGATGAACGTTACGCGATCGACTGTATATGCTTGGTGTCGCTATACTTTAAGATAACTAAGCTAGCTTGTATTTTGAAAAGCTTCAAATTACCATCTGGATTCTTCTTTAATAGATATATTGTTTCACAAAGAAATTTATACTTTTTTATGATACTTATTATATATTTATAAGATACCTCTTGTCTATTATATATGTATATATCTCGAGATGTTGTTTACAAGACATTATTTCGAGACAATGTTTACAACACGCAATTTTCCACGCTTCATTTAGTCACAAGGTACGTGCGCGCAATTGTAAACTATAGGTCGTAATAAAACAGCCTATTTTTAGAGAATCGAAGCATGCCCGGTCTCGTATGTGCAAACTGCATGCTTTTGGAAAGATTTAATCGCCATTCATGCTGAGGTCTTTTAAAACGCCACTTACGAGAGGAAACTCTTGTGTTTTCACCTGTGAGCGTTTTGCGACTTTTTTACGCTGCGAGATAAGACATTCCATTATCGGAATTAAGAAAATGAGAAGAAATGATTGCGAGAATATCTATTCATTGTCCAGACTCTTATAAGGATAGATAATAGCTCTCTGAAAAGAAGGAGAGTGTGTTCTTCCCTCGAAAGAGAAATAAAAAATCTTTCACTTTCCATCGGAGGAAAAGTAGTCTCTGATTTGGACATTTCATGCATTCTCGAGAACCTGTCTGTTCAAATTACACCCACATTCAATTCATAGAATAAGAAGCGAATTGTTGGCTTTTATCATTATTGACATCCCGTCAATGCTTATATATAGACGCGTACTTTCATAAATATAAAATTATGGAATTAAATACAAAATGTATGAAGAAAAAACCAAGAAGAGCTCAACTTTGAGAAGAAGGGAACAGTCACTTTCACGACTGTACTTCTCATGTATATTGAATTAGCGTTTCCAAGAAACAATTAGAATTTTTATTACAGCCGGAAAGATATATCATTGGCTTTTTACGATGTACATGACAAGCGTGTAAGAGTTATTTTTAAAAGATTCGCCTTTATCAATATATTATGATCGTAGAGATCCAAAGAATATTTGGTTGCTCATGACTACACACTAACGGAGTTGGATATTGACGTAATCAGAGACCTGTTCTCGATGACGTAACGTAGCTGTCTTGCGGAGGACATCTAGATGTGGACCGCGAGGAAAGAAAAACCTTATTCATCCGAAATTAACGTGTTACATCCGCGCAAAATAACGCGAACGTACCGGATATTTGTGGCCTTTTAGCCGTGGATATTAGCGTTTGCTTTAAGCGAATTCGTGATTTTAAAATTTGAAGTTATTTAATAATATAATTTATGAAAAATAGATGTTAGAAATAATCTACTGATTGTCTCATTTTGCAGTTTACATATTGTGGCTTTTTTATTATGGAAATATGACATTTTAGAATATCGTAGGATATATATCTTGTACGAACAAAAAATTAAGCAGGATAAGAGACATTAAATGCGTATTCTATTATCGCGTTTAACGCAGACTATAACTTCCGTCTCATCGGAGCACCGGATCGAATAAAGCTAGATTAAATGAATCTCGTCTAGTTAAAAAGCGTTCACACACGTCTATTTATAGCCGGCGATCATAATATTACGTATGGAAAACGCGCGGAAATCTTTGCGCTTGTAGTTTCTTGACTAGAAATTCATCTCGTAAATCGTCTCTGAAAATCAATAGTGCTTCATGTTGATACAAAATGAATGGAATTTAATATTACCATTCGGTGACATTAGATCAAATAATCGATATACTGATGGTAAATATTGACAAGGAATCTTCTCGGATGAAGCTTAATATATTTCATGAGCTTCAAATTATTATAAAATTTTATAACTTGCTATTATTTGTAGAAATGGGCAGGAATTTTCGTGTCGGAATAATGTTTATGAGCGGCAAGCACGATAGCCGCTTCTTTAAAACGCGCAGAAACATTCGAGGCTTCCGTAACCTGTCGTTAACCTACTTAGGACTGTTCCAGTACACGCACTGTTCGCTTTAACTTGTTTTATAGTCATTCCAAGACCGACGAACTGATTCCCTAGATTAGAACGTAGAATTTATGTCGCAATTGCAATCAATTGCATCCATAACTTGCGAGCAAAGAATGCTGTCACCACTTGTACAAGTATCAAAAGATGCTACGATTAAGATTCGTTTATCTTAAGATTCGTAGCATCTTTCGATTCTTTTACAAAATTCAAAATAAATAAACTATATGCTATAAATATGAAATCGATAAATAATACAAAAATTATTATAACTGCGCCGAAGATTCATGATTTTTTAACAACACCTAGATAGATTTTCGTCGATATATGAAAAGTCAGCAGATAATGATTCCAAACTTGGATTTGCAGCCAATGTAAAGAGATTTTCTCTAACAAGATCAAAGTTCGTTCCTTCGACGAAAATTCGCACACGTTACTTTACTCTTTCGCGGTTGCTGACCATGCCAAATTTGCGGGACGGAAAATGCTGATCGACCGAACGAAGAGGAGGTGGACATTTAATTACGAATCGACGTAGGAGGAGAGACGCGCGCTGAAAGAATGGCGAGATAGTTTAGTCATGAGCTATGTAACCAACTATATCTTATATGTAACGACGACAATTACGACGGCGACGTAATCAATCCGAAACGATACAGGGGGATATATATATGAAGATAAATCACGCCTGCTAAGTGACCGTCCAACTGTGCGATCCCCTTTTCGCAGGTCCTTTTACTGTATATATTGTACATGCAATCGTTGAATAAAGAGTGCTCCATAAAAATAAGAAGAAAATTTTTTGGGAGTATTATCGAGTAAAAAACTCGACGAAGATTAAGAAATATATCGCGTCGAAAAAAATGCATTGTCAGAATACTTTCAGAATATTAAACTTTTTTAATCTTTATTTTTATCATTTATAGAATATTAATTATTATAATCTTTTTTATACATGGCAGGAACTTTTTGCGAAAGAAGTGAAACTTTATCAATTATACCGAAATTCTAAAAATAAGAGATGCTAACTTTATACAGATTAACTTTCCATGAAAACCGGAATATAGTTAGCGGTATATGACAGGGCAGTTAGTTATAATGTAATTAATATATCACCAGCACTCTTAGCGGAAATCGATTGTCACAATATGTGTATACACATATATACGGACCGGTATATTCACACACACACACACACACAGCTGCACAAATTGCACGCGCCTTGAATGTTCCGAATTCGTTGCATTTGGATCGGATAGATTGATGCATCAATACTTGAAACGCATCACGTAATGGTACACGCGCGTGTTTTACCTTGGCATAAATTCGCCACATAAGATATATCTACGCACTTTCATTCATGGATAAATGTCATCTCTAGCATACGAGGGAACTTTCCAATCTAATAGAAATAAATGCCTCGATCTCTCTTTTCTCATGCAACGGATATTTGACACGTCGATGTAATTTTATTACTACATGCATATTCTAGATTAAACTTGTTTTTTCGTTTTTATATCACCGCAAATGCTGCGAAAAGCATCGCGTGCTGTGGAATATTAATTGCGACCTACTATCTTTCTTTTCGCGAACTGAATTTGCCATTTATATTAATCCACAGTAGGGTTTTTCCAATACGATATCTAATAATAAAAGCGCCTGATAGCGGCAAATTCTCATCGAAGGACGAGTGGGAAGATTGCGTTTCGTTAGATCTTTTACCAATTTTATAATTGCATTCTCATTTTATCTAAACATACTTCGGGTTACATTTTCGACGAGTCTTTTCATTGATACGCCTTGAATAGACTATTAGGAATATATTTGCATATTATAAGAAGAAAAAGTAAAGTTTACACGAGCTTTACATTTACGAAGATCCACATACATATTCGGTATACATCTGATAATTTACTTCCGTGGCACGTCTGACAACCAGGTGACCACCAGGTCAAAGTATAAATATGGTACAATGATTTCATTATCGCACGTTAAGAATCGATGTGACGTCGATTTATTACATCCGCACGGGTTGCCTTTGATGTCCCGCACGCGTGTGCAGGTGCGATCGTCTTCCTGTCCGATTACACGTAGCCGATTCATGCGCATGATGACCTCGCTCAGTCAACCGAAGTATTGTCACAGCTTTTGTATAAGTCTGTTATAAAAACAATTAATAATTAATTGGATTATGATTAATTATATAATTAATCATATTTGAAATATTTTGTTTGTGTTTTTATAAATGACAAAATTTCAGATATATAATTAGCAGACAAATTTTTTCATTCTTGCAATGAAAATTATAAATATTAACTAATTCAGTGGAATATATATATAGCGCGGAATTCTGATAGTTAATTTATTTGAAATATTTCGTTTTTAATCTTGATTGCAATAGTGGAATAAATTTAATGTCACCTCTGCTAATTATATATTTGAAATTTATCGAAATAGCTTTATATTAAATTAACAAGATATGTTCGTTCTTCGTTCGATTGTATTTATTCATAAATATTTATAAATAGCTCTATTATCCGCACATAATTTTTTCTTTGGCATCTCAAGCGCACGCAGAATGGACGCATCACGATGGAAATAGGCGATCAGTCAGCATAGTAGACGACCCCAGGTCGTCCTGATTGATCGGCACACCCGCGATCGTTCCCGAGTAAGACTGACCCGGTTGCTCGTTCGCGATGGCCACGATGGCGTCAACGGAGAAAATGGACATGGAGAAGGACTTGCCGAAGAAGAAGCTCATCAACACGAATCTGATATCGCTCAAATGTCTTCTGTTCGTTTTTTTTGGTGGTAGGTATCAGTCGACATCGCAAAAACAATCGCTTTAGTTTTTAGTTCGATCAATTCGGACGACTTCTAACGATCCACGATTATTCCTTTTCAGGTATCGGCTGTCTCTTCCCATTTCTTCCATTGCACATGACGAAAATGGGACTAAATATTGAAAATGTTAGGTTCGTGTCGATGGTCTCGCCGGCAGTAGCGATACTGGGGCCGTTGATAGCAGGACCGATTGCCGACAAGCTCGCCGGCCGTCAGAGCAACAATGACAAATCGTCGACGGGTCGTTACCTTCGCGTAATGATCGCCGTCGCCTGCATCTTCTCGGCACTCTTCTACTCGCTACTGTTGCTAGTGCCCTCCGTGGACCGCACTCTACCATCAGCCGGGAAAGGTCCGGGCCTCAAGTTCAACTGCGATCGGCGGGGAGCGATGGTGCGGAGCTAAATGATTAACTTGATAGATAAATAGTAAAGAGAATTGAGAGAAAATGATATATATCTGAAGAATATTTTAACTGTATATATTAAACTTTAATTAAAATCCGTGGATTAAAAAAAAATGTGGAGAAAATATATTTGAATTTTATAATTAAAATTTTATTTTTCTCTTTCTCTCTAATTGTAAATAATATTAAATTGCAATAAACGTAATCACATCCTTTTTCTAGGTGCGGCAAGAGAGGTGTGAGGACCGTTTTGGCTGTCATCGTTGGACCGATGACGACAGCGGGGTGGGCATCATGCTGCTAAGAGACTGCAATTACGTTTGCTATCCGACCGGCTGGCAACGATGGCATTCAGAACTTGCGTCTGACACAACAACCTTCCGAAGCGCCGTCGACCCCGAGGTTGATTTCTTCGACGGCAGTGGCGAGATCACGGTCGCACCGCTATACAGCGAACCCTACGCGCCGGTAAGGCTACGATTACAAAAAACACGGCATCTCGATTGTGTTACAGGACAAGTGTGCCGCGATAAAACAAAACAAAAAAAAAATATATGTGTGTGTGTGTGTGTGTGTGTGTGTGTGTGTGTGTGTGTGTGTGTGTGTGTGTGTGTGTGTGTGTGTGTGTGTGTGTGTGTGTGTGTGTGTGTGTGTGTGTGTGTGTGTGTGTGTGTGTGTGTGTGTGTGTGTGTGTGTGTGTGTGTGTGTGTGTGTGTGTGTGTGTGTGTGTGTGTGTGTGTGTGTGTGTGTGTGTGTGTGTGTGTGTGTGTGTGTGTGTGTGTGTGTGTGTGTGTGTGTGTGTGTGTGTGTGTGTGTGTGTGTGTGTGTGTGTGTGTGTGTGTGTGTGTGTGTGTGTGTGTGTGTGTGTGTGTGTGTGTGTGTGTGTGTGTGTGTGTGTGTGTGTGTGTGTGTGTGTGTGTGTGTGTGTGTGTGTGTGTGTGTGTGTGTGTGTGTGTGTGTGTGTGTGTGTGTGTGTGTGTGTGTGTGTGTGTGTGTGTGTGTGTGTGTGTGTGTGTGTGTGTGTGTGTGTGTGTGTGTGTGTGTGTGTGTGTGTGTGTGTGTGTGTGTGTGTGTGTGTGTGTGTGTGTATGTGTGTGTGTGTGTGTGTGTGTGTGTGTGTGTAATATTATGAAATATAATATTATGAAAAGTCTAATTTTATAAATAGAACTTTTAATCCTTTAATTAATTGGAAATACCATTTACATGCATCCAGCAAGGAGCGAATTTTCTTTTTCTCGCAGTAAAAAAAATAAAATTTGAAGCAGATAATCGTGATCAGCGTGTATGTATAATTCTATATATACATAATTATAATTTTTATAGGAGGATCGCGAAGAAACGAAAAAAATTCGTCGCTATGTCATGAGTGAGAATGAGCCGCCGCATCTGTGCTACAAGAATGAAGACGACAATATTGTCTGTCATGTTTATACAGAGTACTCCGGCATTTTGCCGGTAAACGGTAGTCTTGGACAGGCATTGAATCCCGAAAATGAAGAGGAATGGTGCGCATATCCTATGGCTGAATACTTCGCCTGTCGCATACCGCCCGAATTGGAAGTCAGAATGGCCGAGTTCAATCAGAGTTGCTCCATTGAATGCGATCTGGTCAATCCGTATATTCTTTCAGGTAATAATTTACGTTAATTAATTTACGGCAATTAATTGGAAATTAGTACTATCTTGAATTTTTTATTTAATATTAAGTATGATGCATTACAGTTCTACAATTAGAAACGCAGTCCTAAAAAATCGATTCTTTGGAGATTTCCGCAATAATCATGTTCTAATACTTTTATATAACATTAGTGAACGAAACTCGACAGATAAAATTCTAAAAAAGCATAAACGTCGTATATCGCCTTCATTCATTTGACGATTTTATTTTCCACGCTGACAGCAAAAAGAAATAGAAAATTTTTCTTTTATACCGACGATAATATATCATTTCAGGCAGCGTGCTGACGGAAAGCCAGTGTCAACGTACTGGAGATTGGGCGGAAGCGGCGTTTTGGATGTATTTATTCGTACGCTCGATCGCAGATATCTTCCCGACGACTGCCGTGGCTCTAATTGACGCGGCGGTGGTGATCGCGACGAGGGAGACGTCATGCGGTCGCGGCGATGTAGGACGCCAACTAGCCTTCGGCTCTCTCGGTTTTGCTCTACTAGGACCGCTGTCCGGCTATCTGAGTACTCTAACGAATGATATCGGACCGGCCTATTGGCTACCGCTCGTTTTGCACGCTGTGCTCATGATCCTCACGGCTGTCATCGCTCTGTCGGCGAACGGCATGCCGCTCAGTCCACCCGAATGGTGGTGGCACACGAGAAGCGGCATGCTGGCGTTACCAATGAGTGCTATCAAGAGGTACGGCAGCGAGACTGCTGCGCTGGTCTTCATCCTGTTAGTCATGGGGTCCTTCTGGAGCGCGATGGACAGTTACTTGCCTTTGTAAGAGTCTATTAAGATAAAGTCATTAGATAAAATAATTTAACTGTTTGTTGAATCGCGATTCGAGATATTAGGAATATCTTTTCTTCGTCACACAGGCATCTGCAAAAACTAGGGGGCGATGAACTTTCCATTGGTGTCGCTATGACTGTCGGAGCAATCCCGGCAT